GCGCTGGCCTGCGGGAAGGGTGCTGGGGGAATGCTGGAGCTGCTCCTGCAGCGTTGCCTGCCTGGGCTCAGCCAGGACAAGAGGCCTCTGGATTGCAGGCACTGCCCTTGTGAGAGAGCAAAGGGCTTTCCAGCATCTTGAGCTTTACCTGACTCGGAGATATCATCCCAAAACGGTGATTCAAACTCATAGTAGCCTTCCTTAATCTTTTCAAACAGCTTAGATTCTGTCTCCTCATAGAAAGGAGGATACCCACACAGCCTGGAACAGAGCAGAAGAGAAAGGGGCCCCTTAGTGCCCCAGCCCGAGTGTGCACAAGCTCTTCTTTAGCTGCATCTGGGGGCCTGTGCAATGGGGTTGGGAGAAGAACAGAAGATACTCTACGGATCCATCTGTCCCTCGCATCTAAGTGCATTCATAATACTGCAGAAAAGAGTTAAAAATTCAGCTGCAGCAGCGAAAGCACAAAGCCACAGCTGGTACATAGCTACATGGTGTGGGAGGAAATGAAACAAAAAGTACTGAGGAAGATCGAGCAGTAATTGTAGGCAACTGAAAAAAATAAAACATGGGATGAAGCATATAGTGGAGAAAATGTGATTCCCTCCCTCTCCCTACATTCCTTTGCCTTCTCTCATGTAGTGAATCAGTGCAAAGGAGGCATATATTGCTGCTGCGAGCACAGAGCTGGGAGGTCCAGGGTTAGCCCCGTTAGCACTTGCACTCTGGAGATGTGTGAAGCTCTAAAAAAGGTGGGAGACTCCTGGGAGAGTAAGTGGCACCTGCTTGCTTTTACTCACAGGATGTAGGTGATGACTCCAATGGACCAGCAGTCCACGGCCTTGCTGTATGGCTTCTGGGTGAGGACTTCTGGGGCTGCAGAAAAGCAAAAACTTCTTAAGAAAGCCAGCAATATTCAATGACTCAGCCCTGGAAAAAAGCTGAGGCGGCCTCTAAGCTGCCAGTGCAGGAGAACCCAGCCAGCTCTCTTTACTGATGGGATTGATCTGTCCTTTTGCGGCTGCTTTAAGACATTTAGTTTTGTGGTAGTGAAGCACTCCTATTGTCTTTTTCTTTGCATTTTCAAATATTTTGTGACTTTGCAGTCTTTAACCTGTAATCCTGTGTTTGTAGTCCGCATACATAGCGCATCTGTTACTAGTACACGTTGTTAATGTGATTACACATTTTTGCTAAGCAACATACTGTAAACATGTAATCTTTTCCAGACAGACCACTGGTAAAAAGCCATTCCTGGTCCTTGGCCTACCGACGTATCCTGGAGTCCCACAGGCAGTGGACATGATGCCATTCTGTTCCATTTTGGACAAGCCGAAGTCTGTGATCATGATTTTGGAGTTCTCCTCGGGAGTGAGGTAAAGGAGGTTTTCGGGCTGTGAACACAAAGTGGACAGGGTTGGAAATTTGAGCTAGAAAAGGGAAAAGAAACAATAAAAGGTCACGGGAAAGAGCATGAGCTTATTCCTGATATTCCAGAATAACATGCTGGCATACGGCAGCGGAAGGAGCGTCGCGGTGCAGCCAGGTGCTGCCGGCAGAATCACCATGCTATTCCACAGGCTGGGAGGCAAACCTGGGTCTGAGGGTTTGGAGGACTGCACTACGTGCTTGAGAACAGCTGGCAGGTGCCTCAGCCTGCAAGACATGGTTATTTCTCAGGAACACGGTTCACCTTTAGGTCTCGGTGAACTATTCCGTTTTCATGGAGGTACTTCACAGCCGTCAAGACCTGGTGGATTACCACGCTTGCATCTTTCTCAGTGTAAACTCCTCTTTCCAGAATTCGGTCAAATAACTCTCCACCGGATACCCTGGAGAAATGATAGTTCAGGAAGAAGAAGGTTGAATATTAAACAAATATAATCATGCTTTCATGTTTGAGGCAAGCTGATTTTCCAACCCTTTTACAACTCCATTTTGAGCACAGGCATTGCTATGGTGGCCGTACTTTGGGACACTGGAGCCAGCAGGCTCCTGAGCGCAGCTTCAGTGCGCCATAAACATTCCTGGCAAAGCCAGCGAATCCGGATAAGGTCTTGATGCAATTGCCTGCACACTCGAGCTTTCAGATGGGCTTTCAGAAGCGTGTAGAGAACTGCCACCAGTGTGCCTTACACAACCTAATGCACGGCCTGATGTGTATTTTTGTGTAACTTCTTCCTTTAGGTAGATTTGCAAGATAGCAGGAGCAGCCAGGCTGCCTGACGCTGGTGCCCACAGCAAGCTGCTTCCTGTGCAGCTGACACGTTGCCTGCTTTGGTTCCCAGAACCCCTGCGTGCCACAGCTTTAATTAGAAACGCCTGGCTCTGTCCTGCTAAACTGTGATGAATTCATTTGCATAAGTAGATCCTAATCAGGAACTAGAATGAGCATAGGCTGAAACAGTATGAGAAGCATCGACGTTAGTTCAAATCATGTAGCTGCCACCTCATTCTGACGGGCCTGAGCTCCAAGAACCCTGCTCCTACCCCTGCTCTTGCGCCCCAGCAAGACACGACTGCTGATACTCACAGCTGCATGACCAGGTAGAAGTGAGTTGTGCTCTCATAAATATCTTCCAGAGTCACAATGTTTTCGTGTTTTATTCTGCAAAGATAAACATAGATCACAGACATATCTGACAAGGACTATTTTTTCCAAGCTGAAAGCCCGTTAGTCTTTAGTTATGAAAGGGAAGTCACTGATCTGCATGGTGGCTATCCACACTCCTGTGGTAGCATCTTCTCTGCAGGCACGAACAATAAAGGAGGAGGCTCCTCATTTTTAAGCAGCTGCCTTTCCTGCATCACATATGTTTAAATACTGACAAAGCATTAACTCCAACTTCCTTTCGCTGGGTACTGTTCTGTTTAATGTCCTCAGTTTCTCAGATCCACGTCAGTATGGCTGTGTTAGGGTTACAGGCACAGCAGGGGAATAAGAGAAGAAACTTTGCTAGTATATTCATTTGTAGTAATATTTATATATGCTTGAAAAAAATATTTTTTTTAATTCTCACTCTTCCACTTGTTAACATAACACATTTTTTTGCAAGGGGACCAGGAGCAAATGTTCCTTCTTCCTACCCTCAATTCATGTAAGTCTCCAGAGTCGTATGTTTTGGGAAGGGATGTTTGTTTTACTTTACATTTAAAAATATCTATATACACTCACTTTTTCAGTACTGCTATTTCATTCTCCAAGCTGCTGTCCCTAGTGAGAGGAGACTTCTTGATGCACTTCAGAGCAAAGAGCTTGCCTGTGCTTCTTTGTTTCACCAGGAAAACTTCTGAAAAGGCACCTCTGCAGAGAGGAAAGTGCATTTCAACATACGTTGCTGTTGGGAACTTGCAGAGAGGAAGGAAAAAGGTCAGAAAAATAGAAAATAAATAATTCAATTCTAAGTGGATGTTAACTGGAAAGCTAGAGCTACATTTCCAGCAGCCCCAAATTTAGGATATTCAGTGCAATAATTATTCAATATATAGAAAAATCCCATTTTCTCTGTTAAGTAAGGAAAAGGTTACATTTGCATATTTTATAATGAAGTTGTGTTGAGGAAGTTAGAAAAGAAATGATCCTTGTAGTGAAGTTAAGCCACATTCTTCAGGACAGCTCCCTGCTTGTAAAGACAGCGGAGCGATTTACTCGTTTTACTCTGTATGTGCTAGGCCAGGAGTTAACTTTGCTCTCACCAGCCTCAGAGCAGACCTCGGGGAAGGCAGGTGGCAAAACAACCACAGAACTTCAGCCCCCTGCTCAATACTTCCACGTGGCACCTAATAACTTCCTCTCCACAGAGTCTGCTTGTACCTGTATATTCTAGCTCTAAAGTTACAACGAGTACGTAGCATGTTCCTGACAAGAGCACAGCGCTGGGCAACGAAGAGTAGATATTTATAACATCCCTAAAGCTTGCAATCCTGTTAAGGGATTTTCTTTGGCACATGTCTTGGGATAGTGACAGTGCATGCTTTGCCAGGTCAGTCCTCAGCAATGCTCATCAAACGAGCAGCTCATTAACTGCTGGTTAATGGAGTTCAGTGGAACGGGCTGCAGCATGAGAGCCTGGAGGGAGCTGGGGGACAGGGTGAGGAAGGTGAGGGGGCTGCAACGGATCTGCCGCTCAGCCGGGAGCTGCTCTGGGAACATGAAGAAGGCATTGCTTATAGAGGACATTTTTATTTATAAATGACAGTAGGGTCATGAAGAATTAGGTTCTGCGAGCAAGGCAGTGTGACACAAGCTCCAGTTTTTCTGGAAGGAGAAAAGAGGGAAAGGACTAGTTCCTATCAAATTTGGAGGATCCCATACAATAATAATAATAATAATAATAATAATAATAAAAATAATAATAAATCATTTGAGGGAATGCTTTCCATAAGGTGGTTTTGGAATGTCTCACTCAGTAATTTTTATATAATGGTCTTTGCTCTCTTTTGGTTCAAAAACCAATGGAGCCTTTTCCTCCATATATGTGGGTTTTCATGTCACTCAGAAGACTGTTTCATAGACAGGGCACTGGTCAGTGGTGACTACGGGTCTGAGCCCGTGCTTATTCCTGAAATGCCTTGCAGCAGCTGCAAGAACTCCAGAATTTTTGAGCTTCCTAGAAAATTATCTATGAATTTCTAGGTAGTTTTAGCTCCAGGCATCTTCATTTATTTTCTTGAACTCATTGAAGCAGTGCATGTGGAAAGAATCTTTTTTCTAATACTAACTTTTCCTACCAATGTAATAGTAGGAAATGAACAACCCACAAATCAGATGCTAGGGCATCTGTTCTGTATTTCAGTCCCAAACAGTTTATAATAATTATGCCCCATATTAAAAACTCATGAATCAACAAGTTGGCAAGGAGAGAACAAACGTTTTCTAACCCCATTTCTTTAGAAGAACATTACTGGATAATTTAACTAATTACTGAGACTGACCAGGAACATCATAATTTAAAACATAGCTGAACTCTAGAATAAATATTTTTGGAAGTTTTTCCATGTGTTGTAAAGTTACAGAAAGTTTGGGTGTGCTAAAATTTAGAACCAAAAGTTAGAATACAACTGAAAATCGTGCAATGCTAAGGTCCTGCCCAGCTCTTGTTTGGAGCTCCTTGCGCAGCTCTGAAGGACGGGTCTGCTTGGACACGGGTGGGTAGGGACGGGTCTGCTTGTGGCATTGGCAGACAGGGACGGGTCTGCTTGGGCACGGGCGCACGCCAGCACGGGAGCAGCTGCGCCGCGCGGGGAGCACGGGCTCCGCTGGCCCTAGCTGGGCTACTTACGATCCCAGGGCCTCCATGAAAATGAAGTTTTTTCGGATGTTGCTTGTCTGCTTTTTCCAGGAGCTGCTGTCATCATCTTCCTTGCGGCCCATCTTCTCCAGAGTGGAAGCAGGGAATTCTGTAAGGAAGGGCAGGAGAGAAAGGATTAATGTGCCAGGTACTCACATGAAGAACAGGAGTAACTAGTGGCTAGTTGGATACAACATCATGAATGCTGTTTGCTTGTCAGAGGATTCAAACTTATCAACAGCTTTGAAATATATGATTTTTTGTACTTATTTTGTCACATCTGTTAGCACTAGCCCTGTCACTGATCATGTCCTAGTGTCAGTACAGTTTAATATTAGATCAGCTGAACAAGCACCTGGCAACCATTTGGTAGTATTGTCTTCAGAGTATGTTCAGTTATGCATGTTGGCAATTAAAAATATTTGTATTGTGCTTTATATTTAGCAGTAAAAAAACAAGCTGGGTGGTTGCTAATTTTAACTAAAGTACCTATGACTTAATGGATTAAAAAGTTAGCTACAACTAGGGAATGCAGATGGATTATAGTTGAGCTGCTTTATGGCTCGAATATTAAATAGTTTAAATAACTCATGACTGCAGAAGGGAAATAAACATAGGGCATTTCTTGGTCTGTATTGTATGGTTTGTGTTGCTGTCTTCTTTATTTTTTGTCAATTAGCATTGCTTTGCACCTCAGTCATCACCTTCCCGTTTCCCTTTCCCTGCCGGAGTCCCGCGGCTGTGAAATCCCAGCGCTGTTGGGTGCTCCGGGTGTAGCCCGGCGCTGCCGGCCGCCGCTCCCGGCTCCGCGCAGAGGTGGCAAGAGGAGCCGCTGCTCATCTGGGAAAGCAGCTTGAAGGGCTTGTTCAGGCGGATGCCAAGGGAACATGGTTAGTTTCTCCAGACTGAACAATCCAGCCCTGTCGGTCTACGGTGACGCAATGGTCAGGCCGCAAAATCAGGAATATGCAGCTTCTGGAGTCAAATCCCTGCTCTGCTGCATGTAGATGTTTGTAGATGGGAAAAAAAAAACCCAAAATATCAACTGATGGGGCTTGTTGCATGGTCAGGACACAAAAGAAATGCATTGAAAATATGCACTGAGGGAATGGGATATATATATATATATATATATGCAATTATAATATTTATAGTTTAAATTTGCTCAACATTTGCTAATTTAAGTTTTATTTTCTTAATATGTTCACACTTGATTCCTTACAAAATTCTATACAAGTCATTTCTTAATGGATTTTGCTGCTAAAAGGATGGGAGTTGTGTGTTTTCTTTAGTCTCCTATGAATCATCTGTTCATTTCATAGTTTCTCCTTCTGTTCCTGTATGTATATGGCATTTTGCTTTTGCTGATATCTGGAGGAAAGGACAGATGAATCGCTGTGACTCCATACATGTGTATTTGATTTCCTGCTTTCTCAGTTTTCATCACGAACAAGTCATTTCCTGTCTCAGCCTGCCCTTCTGTGAAAAATGGAAGCGGTGCTCTTTTGACAGCAAAACAATGAAATATTTGAATTGCCTAAAATGTAAAAGCTGCATAGGTACTCGGATGATAAATACATCTGCCTCCTTTCTCAAACTGGATCACCTTTTACTACATGGTTTCTCCCCTTTCTTTGCAGGAGAAACTGTTTGCATGAGGCCTTTGGACGTAATGCAGCCTCAAAACGCAGCCACGATGCCTGGACTCCAGCACATGTGACTTTGGTAGCGAAGCTCTCTGACCCCTTCCTTTACTTTTGTACTTAATCTGTCCATGCCACGTGTTGCTCTCTGCAGCAGTTCTAGAGAACACAGTGTTTGACAAATACGTCTATTTTGTTTGTTTATTCAGGTTGTGAATTCGTCCAACAATGCCCTGACCTTTCTCAACGCTAGTACATGGTGTGTGGATAAACACAATATATTTGCTTAGCTGAAGAAGCTTTGCTTTCCCCAGGAAGAGGAAACCTCCTCATAGAAGCTGGGCGCACAGCCGTCGTTCCTGGGCTGGCAGGTTTGCTGCCCCGCGACGCGTCCGTCTGTGTGGGCTCCGTGGTGGACGGGCCCCGTCCTGCGGCCGCGGTCGCCCTGGGGCCGCCGTCCTGTCCGCGGTGCCAGGCGTGCACCGAGCTGGGGGTGCTCACGCTGCTGCCCACGCTTGAGCGCCACAGGATTAAACACCCCTGGTGTGAGGGAGGCTCTGTGACTGCCTCTCTGCTCTCCTTTTACTGGTACAATAATAGTGCATTAAGATTGCAAAACAGAAAGGAAATACTCATTCATTAATGCACATAAAGACTTCTGGAGATAAAAGAGAAGTATAAAGTATTGCTTTAATTTGCTTAGCATGCCACCCCCCTCATAACAATTTAAGCAATAAGAGGACTTAATCTGACAACTATATGCTGAAAGTAGTTTCAATATTAATGTCTGACCTTTGGGCTGTTCTAGAGACTAAGTCAATAAACGTGACTGCTGCTGTATTCTCTGTGATCCAGCAAATGACACATCATTGCTTAGAATGTAATGAGTGTTATTATGACCTTGCTTAAATATTTCCTGAAGAAATTTGTTCAGCTTTCCTATCTCACAGGAACAGATCCATCTGCAGACAGACATTCTGCTTCTGAATGGATATACTGCATTAGCAAAATCATTGTAAGACATGATTAATAATCTTGTGACAAAGTTACATGTGGTGCATGGGAAGATGCATGCTTCCTTCATGATTTTGGCTTCAGAATTAGAAGTTTAGATTAAAAAAAAGAGGAGAACACAAAGTCAAAGGGATTTGCTTTTTAAAAAACAATACACCAAAACAAGCACTGTGTGTGTGAATGAATTAACTAACAGCCAGGCTATGCATTCGGGGACAACCAATGAAGAAACTGAAGACATGAGATCGCATTAGAAAAACATCTACATTAAACATTTTGTGTTCATTCCACTACTCAATTGATTCAAAAGCAGTGCATTAACTTAGGAGTCTGTGAATGGATACTGGCACATTTTTCAATATAAATATTACACATTCCTTAGAATTTTGAAGAAAATTGTTATAACCCATCTTTCTACGAAGTTCCTAAATATAACAGATGAGCACAGTAGAGTATTAGACCAACAGTCTGTGCAAAGAGGTACTCCCGTATTTTCCTGCTAAAGGATGCAGTTCATTTTAAAAATGGGTTAGCCAGAGTCCAACTTAATGCCTGCTTTGTTATACAGAGCTGTCGGGAAAAGCAAAAGGTTATTAAGGAAATAATATTTTGCTTACCCAAGTGAGCACAAGCAAAGCAACTGCTGCTCCCTGCTCCTCCTGCTCAGCTCCGCCAGGTCTGTAGGGATTCAGCCAGCCTCGGCGCGGAGAGGCGGCCAGATTGGAGGGGAGGGATGAAGGAGATGGCTTTTATGTGGCGGTAACTAGGCAGCACTGAAAGGGGAGCCCGTTGCACAGGGATAAGCTGCTTGTGCATGTGCTGGTGCATGTGCGTGCGCGTCCCCGGCAGCCCCAGCACCTCTAAAGGGAGCAGTGCACGGGGTCCCCCTGGCAGCAAGGGCTTCTCACGAGTGAAAAATCGGTATTAGGGCGTTCCTTGATGAATGCAAATGTAATTTGCCTTAACCAAGTGAATGAACTCTTGGTATAAAGATGTCCCCTTTTCCTCTGTATGACATTGAGGAGGCGCAGAGGGGCTGGGCTGAGGTCTGTCCTGCTGCTCGTCCCCGTGTCCCCTGCGGCCTGGCCACCCTCTCGCCTCCAGTGCCGGCAGCGGGATGCTCTCCATCATTCCTAACTTCCTGGAACTCCGTGGGTTTGACTTCTGGAGAAGCAGGACATGTGAATACAGGGAATATTAATCATTCTTTGCATCTTTTCTGTAATGGAGAATTTTCAGATTTGACAAAAATAATGTTACTGGCTACACTGTTGATTTCCAGTGCTATTTAGAATAACGCATGAAAAAAGTGCACATTAGTAAAGCAAAGTTTAGCTTTATATCAGAAATATATCAACTCTAATGCAATAGAAGATAATCACGTTATTTTCCTTAATATTGTTTTCTTTAGTAGCTTAGTTCCAAGTACATGTCTGCTCAGTTTTCTGCCTTCCTTTCTTGGCAGACTGGGGATTTTGGTTAGAATATCTGGATGTGGGTTTGAATCACAGGATTTTCCTTTACTCACTAGGTCCTGCTGGAATCTGCGTTGATCTGTTCCTGAAGGCCTCAGAGTGTCACCTGTTCCTCCAGCCGGGATGGGTAGTCCAGCAGCACAAGAGGACCAAGCACACAGTGTTGCTCTGCCTGAGCCAATCACTGTAAATTCACAGCCCGAGAGAGGTCCCTCCCCAAAAGCCGAGTGCCTGAAGGAAGGTGAGGAGAGATGAGAAAGGACCCGAGGGGCTGTGTGCTGAGCACTGGGTGTCCCTGACCCGCTAGTGTGGCAAGAAGCAGCCCCATCCTGGTAGCACGGGGGGAGCACCAAATCGGAGGGACCTTCGAGTCATTTGTGGGACATTTATGAAGGTGCAGGAATGTACGTATGAGTGATACTTGTATATATTCTTAATACTGCAGGTCAATTCCTGTGGTCCTGCTGCAGCAGAGACATTCCATCTGCAGAAATTTGCTTGAGGTAAAGGACAATAGAGGAGGAGGAGGACGTCTGCAGTTTATGACAGTCTCCCCAGAACCTCTGCCAGGTCCGAGCACGGGTTGTCCTATAATGCACAGGTCGTCCCTGCTGCCCGCGGCCACGCAGGCAGGCCCGAGGCTCGGGGTGCTCGGGACACAGCCCCACTGCAACCAAAGAGCTGTCCGCCAGCTCCGCCTCATGCGCCTGCATCTCCGTCTGCTTAACTGCACATTTAAAACAACATCAGCAATTCAGTATTATTGTCTTATTATTGTCTTCGTCATACCCAGTTTTCAGTTCATTCCTTATTATTTTATAAGGTTTGGTGTACTTTTAAATTTTTTCTAGATTTCTTAAAAGCTATCAGCAAATCATATCTTAGCTATAAATTCCATAGCTGTACTGTGGTGTTGGTGCATTAACCATTGGGTAGTTAAGGCACTGGGAGCTAAGAGATGCTAGTTCTTTTTCTGTGTTTTCAGCCTCCTCTAGCCTGTGCCTATGTGTAGGGCCAAGTGCAGGTAACCCTTGAGCTCAGCTGGGCTGCTAGGAAATAAGGAACACAGAGAGCTGGCAGTGCCCTGGGCAGGCTATGGAGATGATGTACCTTGTGCACGGACTGTGCACCAGCTGTTGTCCTTGTTTTACGATTTTGAGATGAAGATTAAAATGTACTAAGAGAAAAAAATGTTGTTTTGTTTGTTTGTTTTTTGCCGTTACAGGTGCCTATCTCCTGCTGTAGAAGAGCCCAGGCTGTTGCCTTTTGGAAAGTGTGAGCGGCAAGGAGCAGGCTGCGCTGTGGAGGGCAAGGTAAGATCATTCCCGTTGGCTGGACCTGCGTGCACAGCGGCGTAACCAGCGGCCCCCGGCCCGCTCGGGACGGGAAGGCACAGCGGCGTAACGAGCGTCGCCTGGCTCGCTCGGACGGGAAGGGCTGGGACACAGGAGGAAAGGAGCAATTCCCTCCTTTACTGAACGGGATTCACTGTGGTCATAGCTTCAAATAAAGTGCCATCAACGAAAGGGAACTGGCACCGGTGCGTGGGTTTGCATCTCCCCCGAGACGTGAGTGCGTTGTGCTTGCTGAGATGTTATAATTTGTATAGGAGCATGACTAGAGTAGGTGAATGCTCACAGCAGCCGTCAAATTAGGGAGAAACTCAACTGAAAAAAACGGCTTGCAGAACACGATTATTCAGTACATGAGAGCCGCAAAGTTCCCCCACGTTGTCGATACTCAGTGTTTGGCCTTGAGAAACACGCTGAGAAAAGCACCAACAATCCAGAGGGAGTGAAAGGGAAAAAGTTCCCTTGTGAATGTTCACTGTGAAATGATTCAGTCAAGACACGACTCTCAACCTTGCCCGACAGAAATCTGGGACAACAGGCAATTCAGTTCAGGGACTTTTCCTGAGCTCTCAATGGGATTGAGTTAAAATAGCAGTTATTAACCAAAGACACTCAAGTAACAGTCTAGTTTTTAAAGCCATGAATTAGGAGTGAGGAAGGGTGATGAAAACCAGCACCACAATGTGCAAATTACAGCAGTCCATTTGCAAGGATATTAGAAAGGCCTCTTCAGTGCTAAGTGGCCCTGCAGTGTGGGCCCTGGCTGCTGCTCCAGGAAGAGCTGGACTCGCAGGTAACAACATGCACAGGAATCTGCAAGGAAATCAGCCCTGGGGGCAGCTCCTGGTCCCAGGTGAGGGCATCAGGCACTGTCAGAGCACTTGGTCCTGGATAAGAAGGGAATGGGAGAATTTAGCTCAGGTGTCCCCTGGTGACAAGGGAACTCAAAGCATTTCTGCATAACTCAGAGAAGTGAGAAAAGAGAATAATCCTGAACATTATCAGTGAGAGGGCAAGCAAGGCCTTTTGCATAATCAAGGTGGTTTTCAAGCATGGAAAAGTTTCTAAGCGTGACACCTTGAATGTGAATACAAACTCAGAAAGTAAACACAAAGAATTGATGATAAAGTGTGCGGTCTGGCGGAGCTGGAGCTGGTTGGAAGCACGCGGGGCCGGCAGTGCTCCGGGGCCCAAACCCTCCCGCCTGGAGCAGCCGGGTAGGGGGAAAGCTGAGCTGCGGGGGGTACCCCCAGCCAGAGCACCCCGGGGCCGCAGGGCCAGCAGGGAGCACGGCTCTGCAGTCAGTGAAACGGCAGGCACGTGGGGCCAAAAATAAACAAACAAGTAAGGGCTTCTCCGAACAGCCCATCCGGGATTTCTGAGCGAGGGAAGGTTTTACTCCAGAAGAGCTCCTTGAAGTAAGGTGTCGTTCAGTTATATGCTCCTTACAGGTGAAATCCAAGTAGTATTTGCTTTTCTCTGTTGCTTTAAAGCTGCCTATAAAGCAAGTATATCCCTTTATCTCTAGTGTGATTGTGAATGAGCTGATTTGCAATTAGATGTTCTGCCTTTGAATCTGTACTGCCTCTTTCGGAAAGAACTGCTGAAGTTCCCATCGTTTCCATCCCTCTGAGCACTGGATCACCCTTCTCCCGACCTGTTCCAGTTCTGCAGAGCCCAGAGCAGCGGCTGATACCCCAGATATTTAACCGCTCCCCAAAATATTTTTATGTCTTAATCTCTGATTATTTTTGGTTGCCTTTATAAGCATTTGTTAATCCTTAGAGGATATGGCCCAAACGTGTCCTTGAATGTGTCAGGCTCCATTTATCCTTAACTGCCTCCCTTAGTCGGGGCCTTCCTGCCTCCTGCTATTTTGTGGCCTGCTGCTCCCTCTTGTGAACGCACCAGAAATTTCAGCCTGCCAAAAAATCTGGAAGGAAAATGTCTCACGTGCTCCTCTGAGCAGTGTGCAGAAAACAGGCTTCAAACTCAGCAGTATTTCTGGCAGCATCTTCTAAAATCCATCATTAAAATAATTGTTATAAGAAGTAAATTAGACAGCTTAGCACCTTTGAATTTCAGAACTCCTCTTCATTACGTGATCCTAATATGGAGATTAAACATGTCCATCATTTAAGAAGATCAATCCAACATGTGTAGCTGAAATTCAAACTTTAAAAGAATCTGCAACCAGGATTAGGGGTAGAAATGCCTGGGAAGTACAAGGAAGCCCACAGCTGGGCAAGGCAGGGAGCGGGGAGGACACACAGGCTGGTGTTCGTGGATCAGGAGGGTTTGCTTGCTTTATTCTTTCTTGAATGATGACAAGTAAGCAAGCAAGATCTGAACTTCACATCTGCTCTGGGAGGCTTATCTTATTCTCTGTAAATAGCCAAAATTTATCAGGAGTTGGTAAGAGAACACCTGATGAATTGATGGTATTTTTTTCATCAGCTTGCTGAAAGTGGAAGTTACCTGACAAAACATTTCATAAACAGTCACAGTCCATCTCTCACATGGGAGTGCCGATTCCTTGTCTGGAATTGTAAACTGCACTTTGGTGCCCAGGATTGAAGCTCTGTAACGTTATCCTTGCTCACAACAAAACATTTCATAAACAGTCATAGAGTCGTGGGAGTGCTGATTCCTTGTCTGGAATTGTACACTGCACTTCAGTTCCTGGGACTGAAGCTCTGTAACGTTATCCTTGCTCATTCCCCTAATGACCTAACCAGGCACCAGCCCTTGGAAGGGTTTGCCCTTCTCACCTATGTATAAGGTGACAGTGAATCAGATCAGTGCAATTTCCCAAGGCTGGA